TATTCTGCTTTAGAACTCGGAATTAAAAGTATATGATGTCATTCAAAAAAGTAATAACTTAAAAAAAAAGTTTTAACTTTTCGAAATAATGTGTGTTGTAGAGTTATAAACACTTAAATGTATCAAAAATGGTATACTTACTTATAATATTATTAATTAGATGTAATGTTTTTGTGTCAAGTTTATATTATATTATATTAACTATATATTTGGCTGTTCATTTGGACATAAAAATTAATCTAAAATTAAAATATAATTTATGATACGTAGGTATAAGATATTATTTCCAAATTAAAAAAAGCAAGAAAATAGGATGTAGTTATATATTCAATAAAAAGCTACATAGACACCTATTTCATATTATTTTATAATTGAATATTTATTTATAATATTAGTTATAAGTTATAATAATAATTTTACAAAAATCTGTATTTCATAATAGAGAACAGACAATAATTTAAGAGGACATCAGAGAACTGTTTGTTTTCTTACTTTGATAAACGCGCACCATAAACGCAAAATCATTTTCTTAATGTGTTTTTGTACTCTCAAAGTAAAATTATTAATTATTTCTCAGTACAAACATTGTAAGGCCTAGGGATGAATAGATTTTAGACTAAAATTAACACATATCATCAAACCAGAAAATAAATATACCATAATCTAAAATCCATGTCTTAAGTTTATTTTTTACTGTTTTTGGATGCTTACTGGATTGACTCACGGGTAATTATTTATTATATTCAATTTCCCAAAATATTATTTTATACGAATATAATAGAACTTAATTATTCGTCCGTATTCTAAGTGAATATACGTTGAACGGTATGACGCTTCACAGCACCGCTATCTTTGTCTAACAATACGTTGTTAGGCATCTTTGTTGTTAAACTACTCTCTCTCTTTCTCTCTCTCCTTCGCTCACTCAAACACATACACTTTATTTATGGGTATAAATCATAGATAATAATATAAGAGTGTGTAGGCCACTCCTATATTGTTAACAAAATAAGGGGACGCGATCCGGATGAGAGACATGCTCAATCGCTCCGGCAAAGGGTTTTGTCATTAATTATATTTGATATATAATTGGTAAGACCCCTTTGAAACGTCGAAGTATTATCAAAATGTTCATTCTCGTGTGATAAATTCTGGTGGTCTTATATTATATCAGCTATGGTATAAATAGACCTAACTTGTATATAATATGCTTTCTTCTTCTATTAATGTAGGCCCTCGAACCGCTCACTCTCTCTCTGGTATATAGTTTTTTTTAAAATCTGTGGTTTATGAGCTATAATAATATACTGCGGTTTGGAATGAATGCATTTAATTTAATGCATTCATGAACACATTCAATTTATACACTATAGGTATTAATTGCGATCGAGAATGCATTCATTTTGCTAATGAAAATAGAATATGCAAATGTAATAATGCATTTTCTGACTAAAAACTTTAAATAGATGTTTAAGATTTTTGTTTTTACGTAAGTAGAAAAAATATTATAAAATCAATATATTAAATTAATAAGTTACATAAATATAGTTTACCGTACACGACCATCAAGGCATCAACTATAGGTATAATGAGTGGTGGTAGCTGTAGCTGATTACATAATATTATCGTTATGATAATCAGTATTATGGAAGTTACTATTTATTGATTGGTAATTAAACTAGATAATGAATAACTTTTCAACATTTTTTTTTAATCACTTTTTTTTGTTATGTCAAGTCACATGGCTTTTGAGTTAAAAAATTAACTTCATTACAATTAAAGCAAATTTTTTATTTTAAAAATTATCACTTGGCGCTTCTTAAGTTGTCAATATACTAACTAATGGTAATGACAATCAACAATTAGAAATTATATACAATCTTTATCTAAGCACTAATTAAGTATTCAATATGATAATATTGCTTAACATTTCTTTACCTTAAATAACAATGCGTTCTCCAAATTACAACTCATTAAAAATAAAACTTTTTTTCAAATATAAGTTTTTTTCTATTACATAAACTCTAGATACTGTCAGATAATTGTTAATAGGTTGCCTATGTATATGATTACACTTAGGTATTATCAAATGGTTCTTAAAATGTATTTAAAAAAATATATATTATAGATCACCTAATTTTGTAACTTTGCCACTAACGAGTAACTCAAATTATGTTTAAATCATACTTACAAATTACAATACAATTAAACTACCATCGAATTTATTAAAAAGCAATTTCGTCACAGTAACTTTTAATTTTAGTTAGGTCACTCCCCAACACCGTATAGGTAATGACAAAATATAATAGGATTTGAAAATACGACTTATTAAGTACTGATACCTAAGTATGAAAACGTTGTAGTGTCTTTTTTTAAATTTAATTTAGGAAGTACCTACTTACTTTTTTCACGAATGGTGATTGTTTGAATGCATTAATTTTTTGAATGAATTATTTTTTGAAATAAATATGATTTTTTTTTTAATGCGAATGCATTTGTTTTTTAAACGGATGTTCTAGGCAATGCATATAATACAATTCAATAATAATTCCATTTCATATTTTACAGTTGATTACTATAAAATGTTTTACTTTAACTGTGCAGCGTATTATAGTGGCATATGGCATTGATTTTTTTTTTACACAGAGCCATTAGGTCGAATGTTTACAGAGAAAAAGTAAACGAACGGTCTGCACGAGCCGGAAAATCTCCCGATTTATTATTTTTCTACTCGTTTGGACTCTGGATGACTTTGAAATATTATAAAGATGCCTAATGCACGTATCAAAGACGTTTACCGATCTATTACCGCCTAAATAACAATGTGATGATAATATTATTATGTCGAACCAGATTCGGTGAGGAAAAAAAACGATAAAATACGAGAAGAAAAATATGTGACAAAATAAAATCGTGTAAAGTTACGTCAATTCAAATCGTGTTTTTCGTATTGTCATGACGTGTTTTTAACGAAATGGAAATAGAGTGATCCGTATACTATTACCACGATGATTAATAATATTAATATTATATAAACAAGTTAGGAAAGCTCACTCTGCCAGCGTGCTGAATTCACGGTTTCTAAACGTATTTTAATATACAACTACGCAATATAAACTATAATCCCATATTATACAATGTAAAAAGAATATATATTTTATCAATCACAACTAGGTATGTGGGTATACTGGTAATTGACAAACGGACGGAAGGACACAACTGGTATATAAGGTGTTCTCAACTTTTAAGACTTGTAAAGAAAAAAAACAGTGTCAAAAAATACGACAGAAAACACGATTTTTTTTTTATCCCAAGACTAGTTTTACGAGCATAGTCGTGTCATATTTCTGTAAGATAAATAACATACCAGGTATGACAATTATATAAACCACAGTTGACTAGCGCTTCTCAAAGTTTATTGCTCGGGTAACCATTATGTAGTTATGTTCTTAACAAAATTTTAAGGAGCCCCAAAGATTAGGAATGCTCATAAAATATACAATGCTCCGTGGAAATAATATCTGAATTGAATTTAAATTAAATAATATTTGGTTTCTCGTGTTGATGTTTTTAATACCTAATACCCTCTTATTATATTGTTTCGTAGTCGCAAACTATATTATATGATGGGAGTCGGTTGAAGGTCATATCACTTTTATCGTTTATGATTATATTATAAAGAACCAAATTAATAAGCAAATCATTTATGCATCATTGTTCATGAGTTATGTATAATGGAGCCCTTAAATTACTCTCGCTGCAGCATAGTTTGAGAACCACTGATATAAACAATACTGATGTGATTATTTTCGATTAAAATTCGAATTTATTATAGACGTTTACGAATGTAAATAATAATATTTGATCTAGCCAAATCTTCGACAGTGGGGAAAAAAATTAAAAAAATATGGGGCAAAATAATATTGTGTAATTATTTTAAACTTGTTTTTTTTTTGTCTTCATGCGTAGTTTTTAACACAAATAAAATAGAGTGATTCTCATACCATAAATAATATAATATTAATATTATAAAAACGATTTAGACGTTTTCCTCCAGCCGGCGTCTCGTCTACTGTAAGATTTGAAAAAAATCGTGTACGAAGAATTTGACAAATACAAAAACACGATCCCAAGATTAGTTTTACATTACATGCATAGTCGTATTATTTTATTCTAAGATAAATAACAGAACGCGAATGACGATTTTTCAAAATTAACATAACGCCTATAAATAATATTATAACTAGCTATGCGTATGTAAAGCTTACTGATGAGATTTAAGTTTTCGTTAGAAATTCGGATTTCTTTAAGATGTTTACCGAACTAATACCGAAATAACGTTAATAATATTATGTCGAACCAGATTACCCGACCGTGGGAAAAAAAACCAAAAATCCTGAGAATAAAAAAGACGGGACAAAATAATATCGTTTCAAATTAAATTATTTGTATAGGTACCCACCGAAAATAATATTAATTTAAAATCGATTTATGAGTTTAATTTAAACGTTTTATGATTTGGCAGTCGACTGCAGCAAGACTTGTAGAAAACTGTGCCCAAAAAATACGACAAAAAACTCCATCTTTTTTAGATTCCAAGACTAGTCTTATAACACGTTACACACCTGCCGTTGTGCAGCGTATAATATTAGTATTTCTGTTCTAAGATAAATAATTACAGAACACTTATGACAATTTTCTGAACTAGCGCCTATATTATGTAGATATAGTACATCTAAACTTACCCCAAGCACAAGCTTTGATATTTCGGGGGTGTCATAATATATTGTATACTTTATATATTATTGTAATCTGCCATGACAAAAAATATATTATTATTATATAAACTCGCCGATGATATTATTTTCGATTAAAATTATTCGGATATCCGCCTAAACCTGTTCCGAGCATGATAATATATATTAATATTATTATGTCGGACGGGAACCACCATAATAATTATATTATAATATGTTAATGCGGGCTTTGTATATAATATCATGATATTGTATGGTTTCACAGTAATATCGTCGATCGCCGAGCCCGTACTCGGATGGATAGATAACGTTAATGGACCGATCGGCCTCATGTTGGCGTGCGGTAAAGGCATAACGCAGGTCACGCTGGCTCATAAAGATTCCACCCCGGACTTTATGGCCGTCGACGTGTCGATTAAGGCGATGATCGTGGCAGCTTATCACCGTGGGATACACAAGTATGTTTTTGTCGATTGAGTCATAACAATAATAACGATAACATGTTAAACCTAAAATGTCGAACAGTCACAGGATATCGCAAATCGAGGCTGCTCGGTTGGTTGTAGCTGCTGCCGCTGATAAACAGTGAACTGCACCGATAATTTCGTTCATAATCATTTTTCGAATACATGAACTTATTAATTTCGGGCAGTTGACTTATACTCGTACAATTCTTTGCATTTAACCGTGTTAAATGCTATCTCGTCTCAGTCAACGTGAAGTACACAGTTTGAGTGGTAAATTTGTTCTAAATGTGTATATTTGTAAATAAAATACAAAAATGCATTTAAAATACAAAAATACCAACATAAATAAAAACATAAAAAAAATCTCCAAAAATCCCCGAAAATCCCCAAAAATCAAAAAAGCTTATAATATGATGTTGGCACCAAGCCACCAACAATAGAATATACTGAAATGACGCTGATATCATGAGCTCTAATCCATTCGTTTTTTTATTTTTCTAAATAGTATATTATAGGTAATATTAAAAATCTTAAAAAAACATTGCTCTCGCTTCGATCTGAAAAATAATAGTTATGTAAACATTTTGTGATTTCATTCCACGAACATATTTTTATACTCTTATATATTTATATTCTAATTAAAGTTCATAAATATAATGAGCAAAACAAATTTAAAATTATGTCGAAAAAAATCTATAATATTTTATAGTAAATATGAAACTACGTGCTATTATGTGCCTTATTAAAACAAAAAGTTAATCTTTATAATTACATTTTTTAATTACTTCTGTAAACAAAATGAACAGAATCCAATTTTAAAAGTTCAACAACTGATAAGTTTTTTACTTAAATTATCTATAACAAACAAACTAAAACAATAATAAATATACTAATAAAATATTAAATCATTAATAATTGGCAGTCAGCTATAGTGTGGAATAATATAAAAATATACATCGGCTAACCACCGTCGCAATTTTACTATTATAGTATTATGCATTTATGTACCTTACACAATTCGACGAGTTCCGAAAGTTAATGCCCCTGCAGTGAGTACGTTTCACAAAATCAATATTTTTCCAAAGCTTCGCATTGTTAAGTCTCCGGCGAGAGTAAAGTTTCCACGACTTGAAGGGGTGTGTAAGCCACAGATATGAGTGGACTGTGGTGGTTTTCTAGTCTAGGAAAAACCGTTTGATAAACAGTGTGAAACTATACATACATCTCGACGATCGGTTTAATGTCAAACGACAGAAATTGAATAGGATAAACAGCATTAATTAAGACATATTAAATATTATTATTTATTACCTACCAATTGCGATTTTTATTTTTTTATTAGAATTTCCATTTTTTTTTAAATATTTCACCAAATTAACTTATATAGTTTTGAATGTTTTAAAAATTGTGTTACCTACCTCTTTGGTTGCTTCTGTTTGGAACCCTTTGATTTCGTAAAGGTGTTTTTTTTTTCATTTTTTTTCTCATTCTAATGTGCCGATATTATTTAATTGTTTTTCGATGTCAGTGCGTATGGTGTATGTTTCTTAACTATTTATTATTAAAGAAAGTGATAGCGCGGTATTATGATTTAATTTTATTTCAACCTTATTATTATGTTAATCCCAATCGAAGTTTCACAAATAGCTGACGGCTTCTTAACCACATAACAAATGTTTACTTTTCTTCCTCATTCATCATAAATTATAATTACTCTTACTTCATAGCGAATGCGGCTAGTATACGATATTATTATCAACATTTAAAAAAAATTATAATGAAGTGTATAGTCTCCTCTCATTAAAACTTTAAATACGTACTTATAACGAATAAATTACTAGTTCAAAATTTGATTTTTATTGATCAAAATCCTCTGAGTAATATTTTGAATATATACAATTATAAATGTATACAGTGTGTAGCAGAAATACTTGACAATATAATGAAAAATGAAAAATGAATATAATTTATAAAACGTATGAAACATATTAAATGTATTAAAAAAATTATGATACTTAAAATATTATATTTTGAAAACTATTATAAGGATATTATAGTTTTTTGATTAAATTTAGGAATCGGCTAATTTTAATTTTTTCGAAAACATTTATACAGTTAATAATTTTTGTTTACAGTATTTAAAAATAAAACATTTAAGATAAAATACAGTATTTGTAAGGCGAGTGTCTATTAATTGAATACAAAAAAAAAAAAAACTGCGAATCAAAAAAAATAATTGAGTAAATACATTATAGTATTTTTACTGGTAATTAAAAAATAGAAAATCGTAATTTCTCAAAAAAGTGTAAAATGGAAATAGTACGTTTTGAAATGTCGCCCCTCAATTATAAAAAGAAATAAAGAAATATTTTCAAAAACATTAGTATTTTCTGAAATGATGAGTGCCTTGGGTTAAAATTAAATGGATCACCTCGTATAACCCTTTGCAACTGGTTGACTCAAACAAAATGGGTAAGAACTAAAAACCTACATCACACATTTTGGACTTTTACCGTATAGTTCGACGTCTGTAAATCTTAGTATACATAAGCATAATAATTATGTCTTCAAGCCTAAAACTATCTAAAAAAAAAACAAGAAAATCTGTTGCTGTATAATATAGTAGGTTTTGAGTTTTGAGTGTTCTTCTCTATTAAGTATATAGGTAGGTCACTGCAATGATGGATGAGTTGAATTTCAATTCAATGATAAATCATTGCATATGAAAAACGAAAACGGTACTTTATTTTATAATTATTTATCCATATAGGTACCAAAAATAGTAATTTATTTTTCGATTAGTATCTCATATGGCATTTGATTTTCTCCAAAACGTTAGGACAAATACAAAAACGAATCTCGCAACATTGTAAAACCAATAAAAGATTCATTGCTCTGCTCAGAATTTAAAATCGAATTTCAAACGAGTTGTTGATAATAATTATAACTTTATAAGTATTTACATTTTAAAGTTTTGGTGAGAGGAGAAGTAGAATTCGGTAGGTACTTATATCTAAGTATTTAAAGTTTAGATGAGCGGACTAGAGTGACTGTACCGGAAACTATCGGTCCACTACACTGCTCATCAAAACTTTAAAATGTAAATACTTATAGAGTTGTAACTAATTAACAACTCGTTTGAAATTCGATTTGAATACATTTAAATTCTTTATTAACATATTCTGCTTTGAAATAAAATCGTATTTTGTCATTCAAAATGGTAATTAATTTTATGATAAACTGATGAGTGAAGAATTACAGAGGTATATAATCCGAAAAATATCAGTCCAATTCTTTGCTTATCAATACTCTAAATACTAGTTTGTAGTTACAGTAAAACTCTAAATACCGGACACTCTCGGTCACTGAAATTGCATGTGTTATTCAAATTGTTCAGTTTGTATGGAAAGTCTTTAATATGTTTTCAAAAAAACATCTGCCGTTTGGAGTTGTCCGCTAAAGGAGGTCTTACTGTATAACTAATTAACTACAGTGGTACTTACCTAATTGTTTGAAATTAAATCATTCAAATATTGATATTTGAAATTCATAGAGAAAATTAAATAAAAACTGTACGGTGGCTTTAAAAATTGTAAGAAAACAATATATTGTTATAAGAAAATATTTACAAAATTTTTTATATATTTCGGGAAAATATGTATTTACTTTAAAATAATCATCTTTTTACCAGTCGTTTACTTGTTTTTTTTTTATCATACCATAATAGATATTACTTATCTCTGTTTTTAATTTTATTATTATGATTTTGTGAATTTAGCTCGTCGTCGGACAAACCTTTGACGGTGTACAACTCATCGTCGGTTAAGAAGTCGATTACCAATGGCCAAATTATGCAACTCGCGGTAAAGTATTTTATGTTGCATCCGTTTGATGAGATTTTATGGAGGCCAAGAATTTTAATTACGGGTTCAAAACGGCTTTTTTACTATCTCACCATTATTCAGCAAGTTTTACCGGCTATGCTCATTGATTTCGTTCTGAAGACAATCGGAAAACCACAAACAGTGTAAGTCACAAATTTACTTGAAATGTTTTTTTTTCAATTCAATCACATTTCAAAAATTCTAGTTGATTGCATAGGTACTTCAAATTTATGTCAAGACTGTCAATCGACATAATTGTTACGCCATATAAATAATCATAGAACATTATTTTTAATGTATTAGGTGGAAATGGTAGGTACATTGGTACCTATATGGTAAATACATACAGAAAATAAAATAAAGTCTGCAATAGCTTACACATTTAATAACTGTTATTTGAAATATTATTATATGGTTTATAAAACGTTGTGTTATTAACAACCAACGACTACGACTGCGGAGTGACAATTATTATTACCTCACTAATAATGTTTTTATAGGTTAATTTTTCTGATACTATATTTTGAATTTACTTAATATTATAGATATTATAAGATAATAATACCACTGTCAAAATAGTTGCAAACAATTTTATTATTTGTAGTAAATATAAAGCTGTGCATTTGTAGGAAAACGCGTTCCTTTTATCTTTTTTATTGTACAAATAAGTGAATTAACTAAGTAATTTGAATTAGGTAGAAATATGAATTAAATAATTTCGAAATTTTTATTTAAAACTACCTATTTTACACTTTTTACGTTTTTGATTTTCTAGGTAGGTAGGTATTTGCTTGGACTTTTTTTTCCCTTTTAATTACTTTATTTGATGATTATTTTTAAAGGAACTCGATACATTTATACATTTTGATTGTGATATTTTAATGTGTTTTTGGAATTTTTATTTTACACTGCGTTTTTTGAGATGTGAAATACATTTTTAATGGCTTTTTTATTGAGCCCATTAAATTCACAGCTCTATAATAATAAGTGTTTAAGCCCTAATGTCATATTATAATATTATTAAAATGTACCTATTGTTGGTCGTCTACGTATAAAACCCATGATTTAATCATTTTAATCTTTATATCAATAGTATAATTATTATTATAATATGGTCAATATTCATATTATAATTTATTTTCTCGATATTCATACTGCGTCGTTGTAATATCCATGTGTCGTCAAAGGCCAGGAATTCAAAAATGAAAAATAATAAAATTACCATAACTTAAACCGTTCGAAATAATTAATACGAATTTCACGATCGATAGTAACAGTTAGGTACCTACCTACCTACTTGAAGTTATAGTTCAAACGACCAATATACAATTTATAATATTACTATGCTCGTAATAAGCAAACACGTCATATAATATTACAATAGTAGATAGAAGTAATTATTTTAGTAACACCTGCCCTATTTTCTCTGGCTAATGTTAATCTGTTTTTAATTTATTTTTTATGTGTCTGGTTATGTTATACATTACATTTGCTCAATCGCATTGGTACTTGATAGACAGCTATTGTAGCCATTAAAGCCATTATCAGCTAGTCTGAAATAAAACATTTTATTATTTTTTTCTCCGAACATATCCCACCAAAAATGATTGTGATTAATAACGACACAAAAAAACTACTATAAACTCTGTGTTTGTAAAACTACATCACAATTCATAATATATAAAATGTATCTATGGCAAGCGCATATCCAGGATATTTTTATGGAGGTGTTTTCATTCTATATTTAAATATAACTTGTGGGGGGTGGGTTCACACACTTTATTGTAGTCATCAACCTTTATATTAATATAATATCGAATATTAAATAGAAAACTGAAGCATTTGACAAATATAATATTTTCATAAATACCCCCCACCCTAGCTCTATCTCAAATTGTGTACAAATTTTTTGTTTTTATTAAAAAGTAAAAAACATTTTTATCAACATTAAATAATTTGGTAGAAAGCTAAACTTTTTATTGAGGGATTAAAAATAAATTCTTAAAAACTTCAATAAAAATAATATAGATTAAACATTCTCGATCACATTCGCTCTTGATAGACAGCTGTAGCGTACTTATAATTGCTATCAGCTAGTCTGAATAAAATTACAATGTTTCTTTAGTCATTAATCTTTACATTAATATAGCATCAAGTATAAAATATAATTATATAAGAACCTGTTATTGTCTTAGAGAAATCTGAAGCATACGTATCATAAATATATTTTTTGCATAAATACTATTGAAGGGGGGGAAGGTCAATACCCAAAACATCCCTCAGGTTAAGCCACTGATCTATATTATGGTATATATTTAATGATAATGCCTGTAGTATTCAGAGAAAAGTTAACTTTAAATTTCTCAAACTAATTGTGAGGCCCCCCACATCTAAATAATGGATCAATCTAAATTATTAATACTATATTTTTAGACTACCTATTACAGTTATATGATTATATATATGCTAATCTCTGTACTACATTTTTAAGCTTTAGTACAAAATAAACTTATAAAAAATAGTAAATTTCTCTTGCCTAAAAATAGGATAATAAGGTAGTTCAAATATAGAAAAAATATTTTGAAAATGTATTATAATATTATGTCAATAATATTAGTCTAAATATTTTGAGAATGTTATCGTGACAATTTTCACTAAATAATAAGAAAACAAATGTATAAGTTACATTAATAATAGTCACGAAAATGTTTTACTACAATGAGGCATAAAATTGTATAAGAATAAGTAGGTATGCTGCAAGACTTTTTCTCAAATTCTTAGATTTGTTAAACCATTTAACTATGTATTTTGTACCTACTTATAAATCTAAATAATAATTGAAAATAATGCCTGTGAGTATAATTAAAAATTGCAATAGTCCGAATTTTAAATATACATTATTAAAGACAAAATTATGGTGATAGGGGGGGGGGGATAGCATGCTTGTCCGATTGCTTAAGGAATCATAAAATACATCTTATATAATATTATAGAAAATATATTGGTACAATTTTATACATAATATTCATTGCAAGCTATTTGAAAATATACCAATTTAGTAGAAGAGTGGAAGGGAAATGTCCATACAGATTAATTATAAGGATAAAATATAAAGGCAATTACCCCACCCACCAAAAAAAAAAATAATAAAAATAAAATTGGTCATAGTTGCGCCTGAATAAAAATTGAATATACAATATATTAAGCACCAAGCCATAATATAATATTACAATTAAACCATATGAATAAATACTCAAAACTATTTTTCCGCAGCCTACTAAATTTTAATTATAAATTTCCTAATATTTTAGGTTTCTAAACATGTTTAAAGCACTTTATATCCCCTTCAGTACATCCGTTAATTACCAAATACATAGTTATGATTGTTGACATTAAGTTATTTATTTATTGTCCTTATAGCTCCTGTACATAAATTGTAAAATATTGAATTATAATTGATTGCGTTATATAAAAATACGTTTAGAAACAGGAAATTCAGCACAATACGCTTTCCTAACTTGTTTTATTTTATTTCGTATCAACAAGTATCTTAGGTAAATCAACACAATAATTATTATGAAAAATAAAATAACATGTTAAATGTATGAAAGTATGGACAAATCGTCTAAATATTGATAGTTATTAAAATATAAGCGAAAAAAAAGGGCCTTGATTTTTAAGTATAGGCATTTCAAAGTACTTAAATGTTAACAACGGAGTATTTAATGTCTATTTAGGGATCTCTGTTACAAGTTCTCAGTTTTTATATTTAATGGACAATTTATTATTAAATAATAATGCACTGAACGTAGGTTCACAACGCAAGTTATACTTAACGTTTAAACTTTTATACTTTTTAAAGTGTATGTAAAAAGTAAAAACGCAATTTTCGTACCTTTGTTGCTTGGCTTGGGTAGAAATAAAGACAACAATTATGGTTATCATCGATATTGATTAATAAATTCAAAATAAATGCATAATAGGTACTATAAGGTCTAAGGCAATAATCATTAAGGGACCGGCTCGTGTATACCTACTTTTAATAAGAGGCGATATTTTATCAACATGAAATTTCCAACGCTCATGGCAATAGTGTTGGTCGTAAATGACGATTAGTGTGAGTGTGATTGTAAACTTGGCCATCAACGCACGCATTGCATGGGAGCACAATATATGTCAACAAAAATGAAAAGCAGTATTTTTTGGAATTTACGGGGAAAATTCTCAAGCCTCGTAAAATGGTCTGACTTAATTAATTTTTTTTTTTTTTGTTATTAAGAGGGTGGTTTTCTAAAAGGCGCATTGGACTTTAATTTTTGATTTCGTTGTTTAAAAAAAAAAAATAAAAGGTTTTGAAAATTGACTATATGTATTTAAAATCGTATTACGTATATACGAGTAGTTGGGAAATAGAGTTCAAGTCAAATGCACCCTGTAAGTAGTGAGAAGTGTTTCTCTTGCAAAACACAAAAAAATGTTTCGTAATCGGACCACTTTACGACGTGTAAGAGTTTTTCCTGTAACAATGTTGCAAAAAAAAAAACAGATCACGTGTAGGCCTTTAAAAATGTTGTAATTATTAATTATTATCTATAAAAAATGAACCTTATTGAATTACTTATTGATTACTTTTCACTTTTTATGGATATAACAATTCTTAGGGTCGTTCTAAACTTATAGTTGTAGTTGTTGTTGTTCAGATAAATAAATAAAACACTGGTGGTCTAAGTAAAGATACACTAGTTTGCCGCTTTCAAGCAAAGAATAAAGTTTTCCTTCCCTTAATAACAATCTTAGTTTTTTTTTCTCAAACAAAAAAAAAAATCAAAAGGAAATATATTTTTATAATATTTTTAAAACGTTAAACTGGCTATTTTTATAAAACATCAAACATAAATAATTAAATAACATCATACTACACTTTTTAAAACAATTTCTGGAGAATTTTCACGATTTTAAAAATCGTTTATGTTATGAAGTGACAGTGTTGTAAATTATATTAGCAAATATATTTAAAAACTTTTAAAATTAAGTATTTGAAAAGTATTTAATATAATGTGTTGGACAAATATTGTGTATTTTAAAATAAACTACTTTTTAAAATTATTATTCGTAAAATCTCAGATTTTTTTTGATAGTCATTAAATTATAATTGAATTTATAATTCAAATTAAATTATTAATCATTTATTATTTATTTTATATTTCATTAATATTTAATCATTTATATTTCATGCCATTTTCAAACACTGATTATCAAATTGTATACTCGTTTTCAGTAACTTGGTAAATTTGCAGCGAAAAATATATATAGCGACAATGGCGTTGTCGAATTTCACTTTGCAGACATGGACGTTCAAAAACACAAATTTCTTAAGTCTGCTCCCACACATCCCGGAAGATGAAAAAGACGATTTCGATTTCGACTTTAACGATATAAATGTAGAAGATACGTTTATAACTTGCCTTACTGGAGCTCAAAAATATTTGTTCAATACCAATCCCAATAAAATAACTCAAGCGAGGAAGAAAATGAAAAAGTCAGTTTCAGTTGCAAGATATTATGTACCCATACAATAATTATTGTAAGACAATAACCTAAAATTCGTGTTTTTTTTTCAGATTTCTTTGGATCGACAGAGTTTGGATAACACTGTTAATTGTTTTTATTGCGTACTGCTTATATTCAATCATATCCTGGAGATTTTGAATATTAAAATATTTAATACGATTTTGAAAATATACTTTTAAGTCATAATAATATTATGATAATATAGTCTGTTGTGTAATGATTTGTATAAGATATTGATAAAAACATAAAAAAAATGTACATGATGACTGCCATGATATAAAAAATTGTGCAAATAAATATACATCGTCAAGATTAACTTAAAATAATCACATTTTGGTTTTTTTTTTAACGATAGTGAGTTTTGTGATTGAATAACAGTCAACTTTTAAAACTGGATAATATGTCAATAAATGACTCGAAATATTTCGCTTTCAGTCTGAAATGAAAAGCCATTGCAGTCTTGAACTGAATTGAAAAGTCATATATTGAGTTAGAGTCAAAACTATATTTTTGGTCAGTTTATCTGCAGCAGCCAGGATAAAGGTTGAGTATATTTTCTTAGACTTTTATTGTCATTTTTGGCAAAAGCTTTACTCAGTGTCATCACATAAGACATAACTAAGCGATTCATTGCCTCCATGTGACCTTGCCTCGTCATCATTAGCTTAGCGATTGAAATAATAACAATATGTATAATTCCCGGGTGATTAATATTGTATAATTTATTTATTTATACTTTTTTGAATGACAACCTACTGTTTTAATCTCATCTTCAAAAGTAGAATATTAGTATTTCCAAATTCAAGTTTCAAAAAAAAAAAAGGTGCCCGGTAAAGTAGAAATATACCAATGGTTGTATTAAACTTGAATTCAATGATACAATATCAATGTATAAGAAAAACAATTCTGAGTGTAGACGGTTTGTCAGTCTGGATATTATATTATATTGTTATTATTTATTATATCATGTAAGTTGAATTAATATTATAATTTTATTATTTTTTATATTTTTCTATGGTGATAAGCAAAGCATTAGAAATTAAAATCCCATTTTTAGCGGTTTTTCGTAATTTTTCGGTGTTTTTTAACGTGGCATTAAATAATTTGAAAATCGAAAAATGACTTCTCTAAAATACCATCTCGATCCAATTTGCTAAAAGATAAGGTACTATATGTTGAAATCGAGACACTCTTTCTGGTAGAAATGTTGTATACAGAATATAAAAAAAAAAAAAATAAAACTAAAATAAACACCATTGTAAAACCACTAGCTTCCGCTCAGAATCTAAAATCAAATGTAGGAAAATTTGTTTATTAATTATAACTTATAATAATAATTAAATTTTGATGAAAAGGGTGGAGTGGTACACGGTTACACTGAAAAATGTTGGTCCACTACTCTACTCATTTAAACTTTAAATACTTTTAAGTAGGTAACTAACTCTTAAGCTACTTGTCCTAAATTCGATTGTTTTGTAGTAAGTACTTGCGAGTTGAGACCATGTAAAATAAATCTTTTCAAAAACATATATGCTTTTCGAAATTATGGTGGTTCTTGATAAAAGAATCACCTGGTATTACTGTATAATATACAATAGCATACAAATATTCACGATCAGCCCTATCTGGTCGTACATATTATGGATATAATATGTATCGGTACATTAATTAGTACTGCAACCAACGAGGTTGGCTCTGGACCCCTCTTTATTGGGGATTGAATAAATATAAACAATTAGGTTTGATTTGAATTTTTTTTCTTGAATATTTTATTATATATAAATTGTAATTCGACGAAGAATAATAAGGTCATACAACATACGACCAATTAGATATCTATTGAAATCAAACTTCCTAGAATTATTTTTATACGAAAAAAACTACACTGATGTAACATTGAAAATCTCGAGGACTATTACATAATTAGATTTTTATTCCATTTATTTATTCTATTGTGCTGCAACAACTATTCGACAGTGTATGATTGTTATGTGGGTTTGAGTATCGCCTTTTAAAATATTGATTAGTTCTATTTATTATAAGATTTGTATTTAGTTGTGATATGAAAGGATGTGTCATGTTTGGTACCCTTAGGCCAGTGGTTCTTAACCGGCGTTCCGTTAACTTAGAGAAAGTGTTTTGACTAAATTTGAAAATCAGTGAAAAAATAAAAACTTTTATAAAGAAGAAGAATTTTCGGTCTCGTCATCTGTACTTGTGCCCACTACACAATTATTTTATTTTCTATTGAGTGACATGTAAACTGTTGTGTATGTTATTTTAAATATATATGTAAATATGATTTTATTTTACGGCTGTAATCCACAAAAATCTTAGAAAATTATTAGTGTTTCGTGATTAAGAACCATTACCTTAGGCAAATCGTGGTTGCGCCACTGACATAAATACATGTCACATGTGGGATACACTTGGTCAAACTTTCCAAGCTTAAGAATACCTGCAGGTACCTACTGCACCAAGTATACTAACACACCTTGTAACAAAATTCAAACTTGAGAATTTTGTCGTTTATTTTGTATTTCGAGTTGAGTATTTTTAAAATACAAAATACTCTAAAAATGTATTTAAAATATAAAACACTAATAAAAATTGTTTTTCATCAGAAAATACAAAATAAAAAATATATTTAAAATTCTGAAAGATCCACCTCTAGTTATAATAGTATCATACTCAAGAGCATATTTCTTGGTGCTTACACCTAAAGTAGATACGATATATGGCTCCCAGATGGTATATGTATGAAAATATCAAAAGTGGCTCTGGATTTCAAAAATATTGGCCACACCTTCTCTAATGTACGTAAAAAATTCTCAACCACTTTGTGTTTTTTTGCAGGTAAAAGTGTCTGAATTTTTTTTTCATTTAATATCAATGATCAAGGCCTGACAACCTTCGTGCATGTCAATGTGTCATTATTATTATGATCCTCTACAATATAATTATTGTGTAAACAATTATCGTTAACAATTATACGACAACGATGTCGTTGAGCGGTCTAACAAAATAAACACAACTATACTTACCTATACCCACTACCATATAAAACGTTAGCGATACTGGTGATTCGATTACAAGGACATATTAATATTATTTTCAGCACTGATTTAATAGGGTTATTTTGGTTCAGGGTTCGGGTAAATCAATTTCGGTAAACTCTATTAAACCAGTGTGATCTATGCGTTTATGTAGGCTATCACGGGTATTACATAGCTTTCGGTATATACACTTCTGTAGGTAGGTATTTTAGGTACTTTGTCTTTAATCGAATTCAAGGGAACACGAGTCATCCGAGGAGGCCAAGCTCAACCTCAGAATCAATCTTGCAGCCGATGGATCTCCGCGCGTATACCGAATTAACCGTTCTAATAGCGATAATAAATATAATGTGAGTTGTAGGTACCTGGTCAATGATCCGACAACGAATTCCGGTCGAAAATTAAATTCATCAACTAATCTCAACATTTATCCAAGGCATTTAATTTTAATTAAGTTATAGGTATAACATATTATTACAACGATATAATATACCTTAGTAGTATTATAGTTACTCGAATACGTTTTGTTATTTTTAACATATTAATTAATTATAATTTTTCTAAGCTGCGATCGACGTGTTAATTTAAGCTACTGTTGATGCTGCTGCTAAAAACTGTTTACTCTTCTTCCTGCCACCCGGCTTACATCGCACAAACGACGCAATGGTATTTGAATAAACATGATAGAATAATAATTAAAAATCTAAAAATATACATCCATCTATATCGAGTATTATTGATATACTATTGGCTAATATTAGCGGGAGATGTCTGTTTTTGCGTTTTGTGTCATTATGTAGGTAAGCTTTTAAAATTTTATGAAATATATAATTTATGTAAAATATAAAAATTAAAAAAAATTGTGTATCATGTTATCTAAAAGTTATCAGCCATAATTTTACAACAAAAGAACATTTTTAAAAGTTGGTTTATTGTATTAAATACTAATAACTAATAAGTAATAAGTAATAACTAATAACTAATATCCAACGGGCACCCAATTGGTAAGTGATCAGTTAACCGATAATATAATACTAGGTATGTACCTGTAGCTAATGGCTAATACCCAGGGCTTACATTTGAAAAAAAAAATTCCGTTATATGTTATTTACAATTTTTTTTTTTTTTTAAATTAAAACGTTACTGAAATTTTGCGTTTATCGTTATTTAAAATAGTGTTAATACCTACCAATTAAATTTAAAAATAATAACTAATGGTAATTAATAGGGTAGGCCAGGGTACTGAATATAATTTAATCAATTCTTAGATTATTTGCATGGAATAAATGTTTCTACGAAACCAATAGACCTTTTAAATAAATAGATTTTAAAATATTTCGTTACGCGTTATTTTTCGTTCAATGATTTACGTTTTGCATTATATTTTGTTTAATGATATATAATATATTTTGTATATTTTGGTAATCGTTATGTATTGTTTTGTGGTATTTAATTATTTTTGATTTTTGCTTTCCGTTATAATAAAATTTACAAATTTCAATCGTTTTTTGTCGACTTTATCTAACGTTATAATCATAACTTTATCATAACGTTTGCAAGCCCTGCTAATACCTACAAAACCGTTAACATAGTAATTCTTAAACCTTGGTTAATATGTCATTCATTAAACATTTTTTCTGTGTGTAACCAATAATTATTTCTACTAATCTACAATATAATACCTATGTTTAAAAGAAAAAAATATATTTTTCATAATTTCATAAATTTGTCATGAACAGCTAGTAAAACTTTCAATTTTGAATTGTCAAGAAAATTATTTCAAATTCAAAGCCCTAACATTTACTATATTGTAATAGAAACTTCAGTATCATGGCTCTACAAATATCTTTTTTAGAAATCCATTCTTATCCAAGTTATTCTCATGAAAACACAGCTGTGAGACAATCCGTACAAATTTATTACTTGTATTAGTTGTATTTAGTTAAATAATTTTAAAATTATGTGTCATTATCTATACTGAGTGATTTTTAAGCACACTGGCCCGATTTTTAATTTTATGTTTAAATTATGCATAATATATTCGAATTCTGATTTTTCACATTTTGAAGTGATATTACGTAT